CCCCGTGGGGGGAGTGGCCCAGTCTGTCCTGGAGCCACACCCTCCTCGAAGTCTATGTCCCTAGCAGCCCGTGACCTTCCCAGGGTTAGGAAGTCAGTCTATTTTATCCACTTCTTGTGTGTTGCTGGTTCCGAGCCCCGGCTGGCTCAGGAGTGTTTGTGACCTGGGAAGCCTACAGGGAGTTTGTCCCCCGCTTTGTAAGAGGCAAGGCCCCAAGGGCAGGCCTGGCTTGGTCCCTTTCTGTCCTGGGCCAGCACGAATTCTAACTCTGCAGTCCTGACCGGTCTGTATCCCTCCTCGCCCGACTTATCAGGCTGCACCTGGTAAAATGGCACCACAGACATGGTCTGGCTCCCAGGGCCTGTCACAGAGGGTCAGAGAGCTCCTGCTGGGACCCCTGGCTCCTCCAAGGACACCAACTGCCCTGCCTCCTCCAACCCTCCTCCATCCTCCAGCCTGCCCCCCTTCAGTGGTGCGCAAGGTGCTCCAAGCCTCCCAGGTCCAGCCAAGGCCTCCCCAGGAAAAGGCCTCCCTGGTGGGAGGAAGGCCCAGGGGAGGGTCCCGTGGGCACCCCCACCCCCACCACTGGGTGGGCGCTGCCTGCCAGGCCTCGCCCTCCCCGCCCTACCCCTCGGGTCCTCACTTGGCCTTGAGGCGCTGCAGGTCATCAATGAGGTTGTCCCGCTCGACGTCGACGCGCGCGCGCTGGTTGGTGAGCACGTCCACCTGGCGCCGCAGCTCCCGCAGCTCCTCCTCGTAGAGCTCGGCCACGCGCGTGGGCTCGCGGCCCTTGAGGCGGCCGACCTCGGCGGCGAGCGCCGCGTTCTGCTGCTCCAGGAAGCGCACCTTCTCGATGTAACTGGCGAAGCGGTCGTTGAGCTCTTGCAGTTCCACCTTCTCGTTGGTGCGCGTCGTCAGAAACTCCTGGTTGACGGCGTCGGCCAGCGAGAAGTCCAGCAGCTCGCCCCCGCCGTAGGACGAAGGCCCGCGGGCGGTGCCCAGCCGGCTGGCCCGCAGCGAGCCCAGCCCGCCAGCCCCGCCGGCCGAGCGCGACACCTGGTAGACGCGCGAGGTCACCGAGCTGGAGGAGCCCTTAGAGCCGAAGCCCGCGCGTGGGAAGACGGGCGAGCCTAGCGGGGAGCCCATCGGGAAGGCAGGCGCACCCCCGAAGGTGCGGCGGTAGGAGGAGGACACGCGCTGGCTGGACGAGTAGGCCTGGCTCATGGTGGCGGCAGGCGGGCGGCGAGGCTGGGCCAAGGCTGGAGAGAGCTGCTGTGGCCGGTGGCGGCGAGGGGAGACGGGGCCCCTGGCTGGCCGCTGTATTTGTATCCTGACATCAGTCCCCAGCCCCTCCTCCGACAGCTGCAGGATCCCGCTGTGTCCTGCCAGGAAAGGGCGGGGCGCCGGAGAGGCCAGCTCCCCCTCAGCGGCCTGCACCCTAGCGGGAGGGGGAGCCACCCACTAGGAGGGTCAAAGGTGGGCAGGCCTGCCTGCTGGCCACGGTCTCATGTGGACAGCTCAGGCTGGTGGGAGTGGGGGTAGGGGGTGCTTCTGGCAGCCCTCTGGGATCTGCCTTATCTTGGAGTGAGGGGGTGTGCCCCCCTGGTGAATCCTGAGTGGGTCCACCATTTAGTGAGAGGGCCTCCTTTTTTCTTCTCTCCAAGGAGAGACTTTGGATCATTTTCTGCCCGAACACACATGTCCTGTTTCCAAGGAAGGCCCCAGACCCCCAGCCCAGCTAAAGACTAGCAGGGAGTTTGCCAAGACCAGAGGCCGCCACATGGTGTGCAAGGGTCTCTAGGCAGGGTGGGTGGGAGCGTGCTGGGCCAGCAGAGAACAATGCTGCCAGAGAGACTAACAGGACCCTCAGCCTCAATTTACACACACACACACACACACACACACACACACACACACTATAAGCCACAGGGTAGTTTCCAGAGCTTCTGCTCTGCTCACAGCTTCCAGTTGTATGGTGTACCCCACCCCCACCCTACTACCCTCCTCTACCTTCTGGGGTCCCCTCAGCCCCCACCCTGATCCATCCCCCTACTCACACCACCCACACCCCCACACTCCAGGGCTTTGTGTTTTGTCAGGAGCTGCATGTCACCCCAGCCATTTCCCTGACAGCAGCAGCTGCCAACCCAAAATACCAGAGTGGTATTTATAGAGAACGCATCAGTTGGTCAAGGAAGCAGGCAGACAGGAGTTGACTCGGATGGGGGTCAGGTACCTCAGGCAGCATGGGTGTCCTCCGAGCAATGGAGGGAAGACTTGAGGTGACAGCCACTTACCTCTCGATGCCTCAGGTCCCCCGCAGACAGGGAGCCCCAAAGCACATGGCCATCCATCCCATCATACCCTTCATACAAGGTGCCCTTGGCTCCTGAGGACATTCACACGTCCCCAGGGACACAGCCACATCTCCACACCTCCACCTGGCACCCTCAAGGGCCCTGCTTACGCCTGACCCTTTTGGAATGCAAACCCTGGAAACTCCCTGGGGATTAGGGGCTGGAGCTGGGCCAACCCCAACTCTGTCCTCCCCACCCAGGGCCGTCGTGGGCAGTGGGGTCCTTCACTTCCCTGACCTTCAATGTCCTCAGCTAGTCAACGTGGATGGCCAGCCTTGCCGTGCCTACACTGTAGGCATTTGAAGAGGTGCACGGAACAGTAATCCAAGTAATGATAATAATAATAATAATAATAATAATAATGCTCATATTGAACATCTAGAGTTCCTACCACTAACTGAAAGGTTGGAGGTTCGTTTTCACACATAAGCACTGCAGAAGAAAGCTCTGGTGCTGTATTTGGGGAAAATCAACCACAGAGAAACCCTACAGAGCAAGCATCTAATCCTACTCAGGGTCACTGTGATCCAAATCCACTTTGTGACATCACCGAGAATTGAGCCCCTCTTGTGTGCCACTCTGCTCAGTCCCACATATACCCCATCCCAAATTCTCCATCAACCCCGTGAAGTAGGCACTAGTGTCACCCCAATTGCTAGCTAAGGACTGAGACAAGTTGACTCCTGGGCCTGTGGTTTGGCCTTCAGGCTGGCTGGGCTGGGCCCGGTGAAGCGTAAGGGACAGTGTTACTGTTCCCTCTTTAAAGTCCTTTCACGTTACGTGTCTAATTTTTGTCCATGAGGCAAGCTTATGAGGTGGGTGAGGAGTCCCAGATATTCTTATCCAGTCTCCAAGCTCAGTGCAAGCTGCTATGTTCTGGTTATTTTTGTGTCTCGTTTCCCAAACTAGATTGTACACTCCTGGAGGATTTGGGAGGACGTGTGGCTCCTTAACACCATAGGTGACACTGTCATTTTCCTTCAAAGCAGCCTGAAAGCTTTCCTTCTCATCCCCTTATTTTGGGAACAAATACTGCTTCCCTTCCCCCGCGCCCCCCCCCCCCCCCCCCCCACACACACACACAATGAATAGTTACGTGCTTCAGTTCTGGGCCACAGTTATTACTGCAGCGGTGATTGACTCCAGGGGTGGACCTGGCTCTGGAGAGAGCCAATCAGAGAACGTCCCTGGAGTTTATAGATGGAATTGGGCCTACTTAACTGGGAGCCTGAACCATGTGTCCTGCCCTCTGGAGAGGCCTTTCTGCAGGACAAAGAGAAATCAACATACATGGTCAACACTATCAGAATAGCATCTGGAGTCTTAAGGCTTATCTTAAAAGAAGCAGTCATCTAAGTGAATGAAGTGTCAGTTAAGTCCACGCAGAAGAAGTGCACCAGCTGGTGTGATCCAAGGATTGTAAATAATAAGCGCCAAGAGCAGAGGAGGGACCAGTATTGAGCTTAAATTTTGAGCACCTGGTTAGCAGAAGGCTATGGATAACCATGAAAGCCCAAAGTCCATTTGCAGGGGTCCCACATGGATTAAGCTTCTGATGAATTCCTTCTGACCATTGACTAGGGATAGAAATAGCCTGTTATCCGAGTGCATTGGAAAGTGGACTAATGCAGATGTAGTTATCACTTGTTCTCCCTTTCGACCAATTCTAAATTTGTTCTACTTTTTATTATTTTCTGCTTTCTTTGGGAATAATGTTTTTCTGTGCTGTATTTATTGTTGTTTGGTGTGTGTGTGCGCGCATGTGTATTTTTGGTACAATTTTCTTTATATAAAATCCAGGATAGGTAAATCTATAGAGACAGTAACTGGATTAGTAGTGTCTTAGAGTTATAATAGGGGAGATGGGGGAGAAGTGGGGAGCTAATAAAAATAGGAACTAGTGGCGGATTGTGCTGGTGACTGTGCAACTCTTTTTAATATGTTCAAACCATTGAATTGTATGATATGTGAATTATATGTTAATAAAAGTATTTAAATTTTTCTAAATACACTGGAGAGGGTTGGGGATACCGGAGCAGGAAGTCCTCAGCTCTAACCGCTGGGACCCTTGTACCTGCAGTGCTCCCCTCAATACCATGAGCTCAGGGGATCCTTCCTGGCTTTGCTCCTTCCCACCCCACCCCCAGCTCTCCATTTTCTCCTTGGTGTTGGGGTTCTGTCACTGGCACCCCAAAGGATCCAGCTAACCAAAGGATTGGTGGTTCAAACCCACCAGCCGGTCCAGAGGAGAAAGATGTGGCAGTCCGCTTCTGTAAAGATTAGCAGCCATGGAAGCCTGATGGGGCAGTTCTACTCTGTCCCATAGGATATACTGTGAGCTGGAATCAACCAGGAGTGACACCCATTTCCAGGATGCTCCTCTTTGTGCCCGCAGACCCGATGAGGAGGTGGTCTATCAGACCAGCCCGAGGCTGGTGCCTTGGTGAAATGAGGCAGGGAACAAAGTACCCAAACCCAACCAACCAGCTACAAACAATGGCATTTATCCTCCGGTCAAAGTAAACACCGACCTGCCTTGGCTCCCGACCACTTGAGGCTGTCTCCAAAAGTCAGTCCCACCCCCTTGGATTTGCTGCCTCGGAGGGAGGGCCACACGGCAGCCACTGGGCAGCAATGCCCATCGCCGGGAGAAGAGCTGGCCTCTCAAGGGGACGACTTGGAACTGGGCGTGCTAAACCTAATAAGAATTTCTCCGGGTGGGTGAAAGAAAGCACATGGTAAAAAATTCAAGAGGCACAAAAATGGTGCGAAGGGAAAAGTGCCCCCACCCCTCTTCCTGGCCCCCAGCCACCTCTCTCTTCAAAGACAACAGTTTGGGTTGTTTTTGGGATTTGTGCCCCCCACTCCCTCCGGGTCCCTGCTGTATAGAGATCACAGGCATATTCCCCCCAAACTTAACGACGAATATAGCCTAGTGTCCACCAGAAGGGAGCCCTGGCGGCATAGTGGTATGAGGTCTTCTACTCAGGTAACAATTGCGGTCTCAGAAACTCATGGGGGGTGGGGGTGGGGGCAGTTTTACCGGGTGCTTTAAGGGCATTGAGTCGGTATCCACTGGATGCATTGAGGTCCCCAGAAGCCTGATGGATCAGTATTTGTATCAGACCCTGCGCCTGCACAGCAGCCCCATGTTCAACGTGAGATAGGGAGGTATTTGGAAAACCGGGCAAGGTTTCCGTGCCACTCTGTTTTATGTTGAACGGTCCTGAGGCTGGATTCATTCACTGATCTTGAAATGGCGGGTAAGTAACCGCAGCTGCGGACTTCGGCCCACGGTGCTTAGCAAGCCATCAACTTTTTCTTGTAACCTCCTGATGTTTCTAGGTCCTCGGGGCACCTCCAGCACCATGCGTGGCCCTGGGTGGGGGTCCCAGGTGCTATTGAAGATTCGGGTTCCAGGGAACACGACCCAAACTCCAGGAGGATCTTGAGAGATTCCGTTTTATGGTGAGAGGCCATTGACATACAAAGAAACAAACTCCTACCCTTCTGAATTACGGTGGGGACGTATACACATATCTTGAGCTTTTCATTTTAGCCCCGTGGTGACTGAGCCACTTTTTCAGATCACCGTTCTCGCGTTATTGCATGGATTAGCTACGGTCGTTTGGACACTTGATAGACCTTTGTGTTGATGCCAGTCTCTGGAGATTCTACACAACACTGCTCTGAACATCCCCGGGACACAAGTACGGATCCTGAGCTTTCCATAAGACAGTTTTGTTGTTTATCTGACCAGAACAGTCGCGGTATTTTGACTCTGACTTTAGCCATTGATACTGGAAATGAGCCGGTCCACCAAGAATATGTGGGACTCCCCACCCACCTCATAGTGTTCTCCAGGGAAAAAAGTACACCTTTCACGGCTGCACAGTGGGTATACCCAATAAAGCTTATGGTGTGAATTCAGGA